TTATTAAAGTATTCCTGACTCAGATTCCTGGTTGATGGGACAGGTGTTGTGAATGAAACGGTGCCCAGCTTGAAAGAGTTCCTGTGTGTTGCTGAATGTGTGCATTGATGACTGAAAGACTCCATTTATCTGTTTACTACAGTGTGTTAAATTCATGTTAATGTGGATTTAAAGACATTTCAATTAGTGGAAAAATTGGAGGGGGAATATAAAAAATAAAAGTTTAATCAGCCAAAACTTTTGCAACCCCCATGCAGTACCTCTGAGGACCCCCTAGGGGTCTCCCTGTTGAAGACCTCCACCTTAGACTTCCACTTCCTTACAGTAGCCGTTATCACTCTAACTACTTTCTTAAGTTATAAAAATATAAGACTATGTTATTGACTCTCAAGGCATTGTGCCATCAGATCACCCCCCTTAGGAGGTTGGCATGATAAGAAACACATAAATTACCGTCTGGGCGTTCCCAGACTGGCTAATTTTCTTCTCAGAGAGTGATCTTTATTTTTACCAGGAGTATGAGCGAGAAAGAGTTTGATTTCTGATAGCTATAGCATATTTCTAAGTGAGAAACTAAAGAAAACAGCAGCTCTGGCTGAACTTTAACCTCTTGTGAGGCATTTGGAGTTTTCACAGATAATTACAGAGGCTATACAGCAGCTTCCCACACCTCACCGCCAGCTATATAATGATACATTGGAAATGGAGCGGGCAAATGCACATCATTTTCATTAGGAGCGCTTGCATAATCCAAATTCGTCGTGTGCGAGAAATATAATTAATGCTTTAATGTTTTGGTCTTGCCACTCTTAGCGCGGCAAGAGAAATGAATTGTTACATTTTAATGAGAGAAGCGACAGCGCCGGCTTCCTGCGCAACACGGATGGGTTTCTAATTGCACACAAGGGTGACTAACTCAAGGCTCATTAAGGCGATTTATCAGCTTGGCTATTTTTTTTGGCAGGACAATACATTTATTTATCCACTGTACTGATAAATACATTCAGTTATTAATCTTGCCCCCCCCCCCGGTTCATCCCTTAGAGTATCATGGTTACCAAGAAAAAGGAAACAAGATACAAACTCCCAAGAAAACGTCTTTAATGAATCGTTTGTTGCTGTTTGTACCTCAGATTACATGAAAATACATTTAAGTTGACTGCAAGTATGGCAACATATTCACACATATAAACAAGTGGTGCATTTGTATTGTATGTATAGGTATGTACAACAGAAACACGTTACACTCTGGTTTAAAGTTGTGCAAGTGTGTTATATATACTAACGATTTATAAAATTCAACACACTAAATTAAAATGAAAAAAAAAGGAGTGTGCCCATGTATATACACATTCACACGCGCACAACCACAGTAGTTCACAAAGGATTAAAGCAAATGTATTGGATTATACATTTCCAGGTCACCTTTAAGTCTTTAAGTTGACCCCAACTGCTTACAAATTGCTCGCAAGGTTTGTTTTATTTTCTCATATCATGAGTCTGTGTGTGTGTGCTGCAAAATAGCTCAGACAAATGGTGACACACACACACACACACAGTCTAGGCTATGCTGCAGCCTGCGGTTGCACCATCAGCTAAATGTTTTTTTTTTTAAAGTACAGTCATCTGAGGTAGACTGCGCAAACTTCATGGTGGTATTCTTTTTTGTTTTTGTTTTTTGTTTTTGTTCATTTTCACAGAAATGTTGAGATTTGGAAACACAAATTAAAAAAAAGCACAAGTGTTCTGCAGCTATGAGGTAGAAAAGCTGAAAATAACAAAGAAAAAAATGTTTGCACGGCATGTAGTGAAAATAAGAGCAAACAGAAAGTGGATCACAGAGCATGTTGGAACCAAAGCACAGCATTGACCGCAGCGTTTTCAAGTCGTTTGCCGGTCCGCTGTAGAGAACAAGGGGAGAAAGGGAACGCCTGCGCCTCTGCTGCGCGCTCTGAAGTGCATTACTGGGGTTTTTTTTCTATCCAAAGAGACTCTTTCTCCAGAGGATTTGCTGACAGAAGGAATTCTCACACAGATTGTTTTTGAGGGAGGTTTTTCTGACGGACTACTTTGCTTCCCCCCCCCTCTTGTGCTGCCGCGCAGCCTGCCTATCTCTCTGCTCCTCGTCAGTTTTGCTGATGCTCAGCAGAACTCTCCTCCCCTCTTACCCTTTACGTCAGGAGCTGCACTCATGGAGCCCATGAAAATAGACCCGAGCATACGTTACAGAAAGATTCAGATCATGTTTGGCCGAACTACTAACGAAGAAAAAAAAGCGTTACCACAAATGACGTCAGGAAAATGGGGTCCCCCCATGGAGCTTAATACAAAGAGAGGTCATAAATCCTGCTAATACAGTGAAGGGCATAAACTGATTTGTGCTAGTTTCTCCTCTAACATCACCATGAACTTGGCCGGCATGTGAAAATACTAAGAAATCAAACTGAAAATGCACTTAAGAGTGCAAAAAATACCTGGCAAAAGTTTTCATATTCCTAGAAAGTCCTTACTTTTTGTCCAACTTCATTGTATCTTATTGGGATTTCATCTCATAGATGAACACTAATTTTTTACTGTTTTCTACCTCCCTTTATTGATATTTTAAATTGATCTTTTGCTGTATTTGCATCTATAAGTCCTTTGAGGTTAGTTTCTAAAAGCTTCCACATTTCTGAGCCAAAGTTCAACCATTTTAGCTGGAGATGATCTGTAGACATCATCCCACAGCATGATGCTGCCAACCTCTGTGTTTCACAGTGGGGATATTGGGTTAAGCCACCCCCCCCCCTCTGTTTAAATACTTTTCAGTTTGGGTCTAATCCGAACAGTTTTCCATTTGTGGAAAACTGCAGACATTTTATGACGATCCTTGTTTGCCTATGTAGGGCTATCAGAGCAGAGGGGGTCGAATGCAAATTAAAGCCACACTTTTCAGATTACACTCTTTTATCATGTCCCATCAAGACATTATTATTACCATAGATGAATCCTGGACTTTATACTGGAATCCTTAAAGCTCTTCTTCATCTAAATGGGTTATAGGATGTGGGGTGGTCTTTAGACCTAAGATCAATGGCAGCAGTTACTCTAAAGACAACACAGATGAAATATTACTGTTTTTTGTGATCAAAAAAGGAGCTTATCATTTAAGATTGAGGTTTAAGGTCACCGTTATGTCCATGCTCTGTTCTGGTTTAGTAAAAGCTTTAACATAATTTCAAATAAATAACGCCGTGACACACATTAATACATTATGAAAGCAATGAATGCAAATTATAAAAAATATTGGATAACTTTCTCTTTCCTCACTTTAGTCCTTTTGAAGACGCTCATTTTTATTTATTTTTTTTTAAATTAGGGTTGACCCTCCATAGATATTAATGAGCAGGTGGCTGGATGCTTCTTGTGTTTCTGACCCAAATATCAGCTCCCTGGAAGCTGTCCGAAATGAAAAACAATCTAAGAAATAATAAGAACTAGTGTTGCACCGATCCCATTTTTTTTTGGGTGACAATAGCTGAATTAACTTTTGGCTCTCAAAATGGTATCGGTGCCCGATAAGAACTGATTTAATACATCATTACAGTGATAAAGGAACTCATTGATATCAAAGTTATGGTAAATCTTCATTTCAAGGCTTGCAAAAGTTTTCACACCCCTGGTATAATGTATTTTACTAAACATAAAGAGATAAATCAACACAAAAGTGTGACTTGTGACATGGGAGGAACATAATACGCTTGTTAAAATCTTATGACGCTTTCTTAATAATATTACTCCACAGTAATAGGCCACCTAAATGCCATGAGAATCCCCACAGCATGATGCTGCCATCACCGTATTTAACAGAACAGCTGCATTTATGAGTTTAACCACCTGCTTAGGGGATTTCTGAGGAAGATTGCGGTTAACATCTGTATGTTCAAGGCTGAGACTTTTAAAAGGGTCGGACACAAATGCCTGCCACACTTTTCAGATTTTCTTTAAGTCAAATATTTTCATTGTAAGAATTGGAAAAGATAAAAAATCATATAAATGCTTTTGAAAGTCGCTTGCCTGTTTATCTTTACATTCCATTTTTAATATTTTTCTAAA